TGATGATTTAATAAATAAATAAAAAAATGAATTAATAAATGAATGAATGAATGAACCAAAATTAAATCAATCATTAAAGTTTGGAATAAACAAAATTATTATTTTGCTAGTTTTTGGTTATTTTTACTTCTCATTGGAGAGAGAGAGAGAGAAAGAGTGAGAGAAAGGGAAAAAAAGAATAAGAAAACAAACATAAAAGAAAGAGAGAGAGAAAAAGAACGAGAGAGAGAAAGAAAGAAAGATAAGCGAAAAATGATTCAATTTTGAAATGAAATTCAAATAAAAAATCTTTAAACAAATATAGACTCCAACAGTTATGAATTAATTATGCAAGTTTGAAAATATTATTATCATCATTTGAACATTATATATATATATATATATATATATATATGAGATACATATATATATATATATATATATATATATATATATAGTTTAATAATATTTTTGCTATTATTTATCGTAAAAGTTATTATGATTAGTGTAATCATAGTTATTGTTCGGGGTTTATTTTTTGTAAAAATATTTTCTATAATTTCTATTTTTTCCCATAATTTGGTTATTGTTGTTGTTGTTGACGTTGTTGTAGACGCTTTCAATTTTGTGGTTATCATCAAAGAAATTATTGAGACTATCATCATCATCGTCATCATTATCATTATCATTATTATTATTTTTATTATTATTGTTGTTGTTGCTATTTATTTTCGACTGTTTCCTGATCTTATTATTCTTATTTTTCGCGTTGTTTTTATTCTTCCTGCCATTATTATAACTATTATTTTTAAGTCTGAGCTTTTTCTTCCCGCTTGTTTTATTATTGTTATTATTATTATTATTATTATTGTTATTATTATTATTATTATTATTATTAATGACGCCTATATTGTTATTGTCCTTATCATCATCATTATTATTGTTGTTGTTGTTTTTAATGACGTCATTGTTGTCGGCATTGTAGTTGATGTTCCTGTAGAAATCGTAGTTGTGATAATTCTTCAGGATCTCGTGATCTCCGTTATAATTCAAATACCTGTCGATGATTTTGGTCAAGTTCTTGTTGTCATTGTCGTTGTTGTGGTTGTTGTTGTTGTCGTTGTTGTGGTTATTGTTGTTGCTGTTGCTGACAATTGAATAGCCATCATTCATGACGTCACTGCTTTCGTCACCGTTGTTGTTGTTGTGGTAGGTTTGTTTCTCGAGTACGGTGTCATCCACAAACTTATTGAAAGTGCGAATTATCTCACTGCCCACTTCGCCATCATTATCATCACCGACGTCATCATCATCATCATCATCATTGAGATGATGATGATGATGATAATGATCGCTAGGGTAGTAATCGTATCTGTAATTATTATTATTATTATTATTATTATTATTATTATTATTATTATTATTGATGTTGTTTGTCAAGGTTTGCCAGCTGCTGATTCGTTTGAGGTTGTTTACGTCATCAGCCTCAAGGTCATTGTAGTTATTATTATTATCATTATGATTGTTATTATTATTATTGTTATTATTATAATTAGCAATGACGTCATCGCCATCGTCATCGCCGCGACCTTGAACCTGGTGTTGACCCTGCAGCTGAGCCATCTTCAGACCGCTCCAGCTCCTGTTAAGGTGCTTTGACTGGGGTTTTGAATGAAAATGTGGTTTTGTTATCATTGTTATTATAGTTTTATTATTATTATTATTGTTGTTGTTTTTGTTATTTTTGTATGTTGTTGCTATTATTAATACATTAATTATAGCCATTATATTGTTATTATTGAGCGAATGAACGAACTAACGAACGAACGAATGAACGAATGAATCATTATACTAATGATTGATTGATTTAATGAATGAATGAACGAAAGCTTGAATGAATGAATGAATGAAAAGTAAGAAAGAAAGAAAAAAAAGAACAAACTTCGGATATAACTTGCATGAAATTTTCAAATCCTTTAAACAATGGCTTGTATATTTCTTTACTGTTTACTATCTGTTATAATAATTATATTAATATTGGCAATAATAATAATAATAATATTATTATTATTATCAATAATAATTATATTAATAATTGAATAATAATAATCGTCGCCATCATCCTTATCGTCCTTTATCTATCATCATCATCATCACCATCCTCATCTTCTTCTTCATCACCACCATCATCACAACTGCCATCTTTATCACCATCGTCATCATCATCTTTTTCTTCTTTATCATCATCATCATCTTCTTCTTCTTGATCATATTCATCATCATCATCACCTTCTTCATCATAATAATCATCATCATCAACCTCATCATCATCCTCATCATCATTCTTCTTCTTCTTCATCATCATCCTCATCGTCATCATCATCTTCTTTTTCATCATCATCATCATCACCATCACCTTGTTGAGTGACCACAGCAGTCTGACCATCTCGTTGAGACCACTGATGTCACCAGTTGTCCTCAGATATTCAGTGATGGCTCTTATCAGGTTTAACGACACCGCCAAACCTGTGTGATGATGATGATGATGATGAGGATGATCATGATGATGATGATTGTGGTGATGGTAGTGCTGCTGATGATGATTGTGGTGGTAGTGCTTATGATGATGATGTTATTAATGATGACGACAATGACGATGGTGATGATGAGGATGATGATGATGATGATGATGATGATGATGATTGTGGTGGTGATAGTGCTGCTGATGATGATATTGTTTATGATGATGATGATGTGGTTTTTCTTTTGTTGTTGTTGTTGTTGTTGTCGCTGATGATGCAGTCGGTTATGATTGTTTAGTTTATTTTCCAATTTAAATT